TATCCTAACAAACCATACATCAATGGAAAGCTTATTTATTCAGCTTTCAGATGATGTATACATCTCAATTTCGAAAAATTGACCCTTATGACTGGTTTTGTGCTCCAGGGTCACATTTACCGAATAAATTCCACCCAAAAAGTTTGCGCTATGAGACGGGATAACTTGACTAACCAGCGTACCGATCTCGTTCACAGCATCTGAAATGTTGTTTTGGTAGTTCTGAAAAGCCTGAGCAAAATCTGTCATCAAAGTACTTCTGTATAATTACTGTCTTACATGACTGTTTTGTGCTCCAGGGTCACATTTACCGAATAAATTCCACCCAAAAAGTTTGCGCTATGAGACGGGATAACTTGACTAACCAGCGGACCGATCTCGTTCACAGCATCTGAAATGTTGTTTTGGTCGTTCTGAAAAGCCTGAGCAAAATCTGTCATCAAAGTACTTCTGTATAATTACGGTCTTACATGACTGCGTTCCCAAACAGCAGCATCCACCTCTAAAAGTAATGACCGCATTTATTGTGTTACGTCTGCTCTAGCTGAAGCGTAAGTCATTCATTACATATGAAAATTATTATATTCAGTGGCTTCTCCTTATAAGGTTTCATTGTTGTCTGATTAGCCACGATCATCAAGAAGGCAGTTGAACGCTGAAGAAACGCTTGAAGGCGAGTGCAGCTCCATCAAGAGGGACACTTCCTGTTTTTAAGGATGGGTTATTGGGTCATGAACGCAGGCAGGCATGAGGCTAGCACATGACCACATGAGGATGAGTCAAAGTAGGCCACAAAAACAGAGGAGAACCACAGAAACACTGAGTGTTACAGATGCACGATATATGGTCCATCAGCTGACTTTATCTCATCTTTTAGCTCTAACTTCCTCTGCTTTTACATTTGGGCCACCTGTTATCTAACGCTGACTTCAAAACGTGTAAAGAAAAAACAACATCATAAAAATTCAGTCACAATGAATATCTATATTTCTTAGTTATTATAATGTTGTGATGCTTTAATTATCTTGTAGCATTTAAAACAACTAGTTTTTTTGCTTTGTTTTTAGTTTATTCAGAAAAAATACATATAAGCAGCTATAAACTTAAGTTATTATTTATAAAAAATTTTATAAAGTGAATATTAAATTAATATATAT